ACAATAAAATTAATAATATTAAATTTCTCATTCTAAAACGACTTTTTTAAATTTACAACAATCTTCATTAATTGACCGGCAAGTCCAATTAAACCTGTAAACTGCACTTATCAACCTTCCAGATATTTTTACTTTTCTTAAGCTGAAAATTGATTGTACAGTGTCCAATCAAATGTTAAGTAAAAGCAGGATTCATATTTAGTTACATCAATTTATTGAAAAATGTGCAAAACCTTGCCAAATAAATCAGTTTTGGAACATAATTGTCATTGACAATAATTTCGAGCAATTGAATAGAATAAATACATATTGTATTGCTTACAAAATGAATGCTAAAAATGTATTTAATATTGTATACTCTATATTTAGGATCCTTTGAAAGGATAAGGTTAGCCTTGAGTATTGAGTATTCAAGTTTGTATATAATATATCAAATAAGAATGCTTCCAAAGGGTGTCCAAAAAAATATTTCTTTTCGAATTTTTATTTGAAATTCTGCGGAGTAGTTTATTTTTCATGTAGATTGACAAAAAAACGTTTTAAATGGATTTTTTGTGAAAGTTTAGTGAGACTATAATAAAATTCTAAAAAATGGAAACGAGGGTTTTCCAGTAAAAAATAGATTTAGGAAGAGTCCTAATCAAATTCGCGATCTATCTATAATATTTTCATTAAGATTTAACATGTTTCTCACTCAAGAAATATTAAGGTTGTGATATCCTTAATCCCGATTGGTTAATTAATCTTGAGGAGATCAAGCATTATTTAATCTTGAGATTTAGAAAAAGAGTGGATCAAGCATTAATCCCGATATCCACCATTCAAAAGTTCCCAGCTCTGGAGGGATGAACTAAGCGCAAAATTGAATTTGACCAATTAAAGAAAAATGTAGTTTCTTTCTTTGAATCTTAAGGTAAGCCGTCTTTTCTTTTTAAACCTGGGAGAATTTTGCCAATGACTGGAGAATTAAAAAAAAAATAATGCGTCAGTCCAAAAAAAATAATATATGAAATTTCGATCAATTTCTTTGAGACATATTAAGTCCATGAGACTTTATTTCGTTGAGGTATATTGAATTTAAAGTGATATATCACTGTACACGTCATTCAATGGATATATATTCAGGGGTATACAAATACATATTGTATACAAATACATTTTGTAAATTTGTTAATTTTCTCGCCATCACAGGGGGGGGGGGGTGCTGAGTGTACATTTTAAGTTAACGTATATATTTATCCTTGTAAATTCTTTTATTCGCGTGGACACTAAATACCAAGGATCCTGGGTCGAGGAATTTTGTCTGGAAATATCTCTGGACCTAGAACTGCACCCGAGGACCCTGAGGAACTCCTTTACACTTTAGGAAACTATTTTTCAGAGTAAAAACTTCTTGAAATTATTGCAACACCGAATATTGCTATGAATGTATTGGATAGGGTGAAGCACTATTATGATGACTATATATTTTAATATGTCAGTTTTACAGGGGGCCTCTTAGTTTAAATGGAGTTTGTTATTTATATAGTGCTGAGGAGAGATAAATATGAATAGGCATAGGAAATGACAGAAGGCAGAAGATGGAAGATATGGATAGGGCAGAAAGTATGGCAGGAACTAGAATAGGATATGGCAGGAACTATGGTAGGAAAGGAATTATAATAGGGCAGGAACTAAAATAGGAAAGGAATTATAATAGGACAGGAACTAGAATAGGAAAGAAATTATAATAGGGCAGGAACTAGAATAGGAAAGGAATTATAATAGGGCAGGAAGTAGGATAGGGTATGAACTATTATAGGGCAGGAACTAGAATAGGAAAGAAACTAGGCTTTGACATAAAGTAGGCTATGACAGGAAGTAAGTTGTGGCAGTAAGTAGGATATGGAAGGAAGAGTAGGACATGGCATGAAGTATGATATGAAAGGTAGTAGGAAATGGCATGAAGTAGGCTAAGGCAGGAAGTAAAGGACCAGGCAGGAAATTTTACCTGTTGAGACTGTTTCTCCATACTAAGTATTTTCTCAATCAAAGCTGCGGTCAGAAGATTTAATTTCTTCCTTTTGGATCCATCTTCCTCTTTCTTCTTAACTTCTTCGTCTCTTTTCTTCCCACTTACTTCCTTAATCTTCCCTGATTCTTCCAAGGTTGAAACATCATCTTCCATCTTCCTACCTTCCTCTTCTGGATCTTGTTTTCCCTTTTTTCTAAATAAAAAAAATTAGTTTTTACTTTTTTTAAATGAATGGAATGATGATAAATGAATGGAAGGGGGAGGGATGTTGAGAAGATAATATAAATGGATGGAAGACTGAAGAGAGAGAAAAGATGAGATGTTTTCTTTCAGATGGATGAAGGGGTAGAGAAGGGGAGCA